TTCCGACATCTGCCATTCATTGCCCAGAACATTTGTTTTAAAAGAAAGCATAAAGACCCTCGCCATGGACCTCTCTTCCAGCATGGGGGGTCAAGACTAGGGTTGGGGGGTGGCCTAGAAATGCTAGCTCTGGTGCTAAGGTCCTGGGAGTCTGAGAGGGAGCCCCTCTTTCCCAATGTCCAGGCACTCGGAGGAGCAGGGCAAGCGTAGAGGCCTCTCGGGGCAGGAGCCTCAAGGAGCGAAGCCGGCTTTGTTTCTCCCCGGCATTCAGCCTCTCCTCCTGGGATCCGGTCCGGATTCAGGTCCTGGGAACCTGGCAAGCCCCTGGCTCTCTGCCCATTACTGGCAGCATTAGAGTCCCCAGTGGGACCTCGGCCTGGCCCGAGGGGGTCGCGTGCCGGGGCTGCAGCCACCACGGGCCTGAACAGAAATAGCAGTCCTAAGAGAGGTGGCTCCTGAGAGGCCCCGCTCAGCCCGGCCTCCACTTCCCGGACCTGGGGGCCATGGGGCCCCCTCGGGGTGGAACGCACAAGGAGAGGTGGGCCGTACTCCCCCGTGGATGGGAGAAGACTGAGCAGCCAGGGAAGCTGATTTGTGCCTTTCCTGATACTGGGGATTCTGTCCCTCTTCTGTTGCTGGTCTTCTTACCCCTCTGGGAAATGCTCGTGGGCAGAGGGCAGGGCCGGCTGGGAAGGCCAAGGCCCCACAGGAAGGCCCCGGGCAGGTTTCTGGATCGTGGCTCCCACTGGCCATCTGACCTTGCAAGGAGCCAGCAGGTCTGGGTTCATAGCCCGGCTCTGTTGCTCAAGAACCGTGTGACTTGGGGCAAGTTACTTGAGTTTTCTGTTCTTCTGTTTCCTCGTCTATGAAATAGAAAGGAATAATAATAGTGCCTCTCTCGATGGACTGTTGTGAAGATTACAGAAATTAGTGCTTAGGTGTAGGACGGCTCTGGCAGGCAGGGAACGGAACATAGCTTTGACTGTTTGGATTGTTCTGTTATTATAATCACTCTCATCCTAGGGAATCCAGAGGCCTTTCCTCCCAGTACAGAAACTGTGCCTGCACACGGGGCCCCTCTGGGTGTTCTTCTGCTCCCAGCCGAGGGCCCAGAGTCTATAGTGGGCTCCTGGGGGTCCTTGTTGGCTTGTCTTCATGGGTATCTCTGTGGTCACTGGTCCTTCCTCTTCAACCTCCTCCTGCCCAAGGCCACTCTCGCTCGCTGTCTTCCAAGAAACACTCCTGTTGAATCTTGCTGATAGGTTTGGCAGATAAAACACAAGATGCCTTGTATCATACTAAACTAATTTTTAATATAAGTCTGTCCCATGCACTGTTTGGGCCATACTCTACTAAAATATTACTCATTTATCTGAAATTCAAGTTTCACTGGGCATCCTGTATTTTTAGTTGCTAACTGCAGCAGTCCTGCTGTGAGGCCCCAAAACTCAGGGGTCTCATGCAAGTCCGAACAAGGAGTCAGTGTGGAGGGCAGGGGTCAGGACTGGGTCCTTTCTTCATGCTGGGAGCCTGGAGATGCTCTGATACTGGGTGTTGACATTGTTGGTGCTCTGGGCCCCACGTTCCTGGCAGGCTCCTGATGACTAGAGCAGCACGTGTCTTGTGCAGACGGCGCGCTGTGTCCTAGGTGTGTTTGGCAAAGGTCAGACCCAGGCCAGGCCCAGTGGTTCCACTCCATTGTCTGCGGGGGAGATGGGGGGTGCAGGCTGTGTAGATCCCAAGACCCCAGAAACGGTGGGGGCTGGAAAGGGCTCCCTGCACTGTTTTTTGTGTTTTTTTTAAGATTTTATCCATTCATTTGACAGAGAGAGACAGCAAGAGAGTGAGCACAAGCAGGGGGAGTGAGAGAGGGAGAAGCAGGCCTCCCGCCGAGCAGGGAGCCCGATGCGGGGCTCGATCCCAGGACCCTGGGATCATGACCTGAGCCGAAGGCAGATGCTTAACGACTGAGCCACCCAGGCGCCCCTGCACTGTTTCTAACAGAGGTGGGGCAACAGTGCTTATTCGGTTAGGGAGGACTCAGGCACATGGGGAAATTTCCTTTGGAATTAAATACAGGCATGACTTTGACAGGGGAAACCTCACTCAGGCCTAAAGAATGTGTTGGAAAGTTCTGAGCGTGGGGCTGGCTGGCTTTTTAGGCTGGCAGCAGGACAGGATCCCTGGAGGAGGAAATAGGCTTTTGTCTGGAACACCCCGTCTCCAGCCCTGAAGACATTCGGTGGTGTGAAGGCTGGTGCAGGGAGGAGGCTGCCAGAGGCCCGGTCGGGGGGGTGGGGAAGGGACAGAGGGGGACGGGAGGAGAGCAAGAACTCCAGGACTATTTCCCAAAGGCTCCATGGCACCAAAGGGTCAGGAGTGGGTGTTCTCCATACCTGGTGTGCCAGCCCAGCTGGGGAGGCACGCTCCTCTTCCCTGGCCTGGGTGACCTGGGGAAGGAAGAATTGGCGGGAAGGGACGCAGGGGACCCAAGCTGCTGCAGATGCTTGGAACTTCAGGATAAGAATAGCTAGCATCAGCTCCTGGCTCCTGCTTGGGTTTTTCCATAGGGCAAGCTCTGCTTCGTGGTCGGGCCAGAACTCCTGGTGAGGTTTGGGGCCCCCACCTGTCCTGAGCTGGCTGAAAGTTTCCAGTGCAGGATCCAGGGTGCGGGGGGCGGGGGGGAGTGCCCTGCCGTGTTCGAGACAAATGTGCATTTTACACATTCCTGCAACTGGCCTGGTTTTAAGGTCAAACAAAGGCTGAGGAAGGGGAAAAGCTGACTTGGAAATCCCTTGGAATGAAAGGGCAGCTTCCTGCAGCTTTCTCTCAGCACCTCTCTCCAGCCTCAGGGACCTGCCCTCCTGCAGAAGCAGCACCTGGGCCCCCAGCAGGCCTGCACCCCGGGGTCTGACCTGCCTCTGCAGAGCACTAGGTTGGACTGAGCCCTGGCCTTGCCACTTCCTCCCCATGACCTTGATGAGTGATTTCATCTCATTGCCTTGGTTTCCTTGTCTAGAAAATGGGGCTCCTCTCGTTCGGTTCGGAAGACAGCGAGGATAGATCATGGATGCCAAGGTGCCTAGCACCCACGGACGATTCTGTTGTTTTTCCTCGCACTCCTGCTATCGTCCTTGGTCAGATGGCGAGTCCTGGGCTTCCTTGTAGTTTTGCGTGACTGTCCTGCTCCCTCCTTCTGCCAGAGCAGAGGACTCCGGGGGCAGGAGGCGGTCTTGGGGGCATGGGCGAGGAACCCTGGCTTGACCTGATATTCTGGGCCTTTTCAGTAGAAAAGGTATTCCATTAATAGGACGAAATCAGTCGTTAAGCGTCTGCCTTTGGCTCAGGTCATGATCCCGGGGTCCTGGGATCGAGCCCCACATCGTGGTTCCCTGCTCAGCGGGGACCCTGCTTCTCCCTCTCCCTGCCCCTCCCCCTGCTTGTGCGCGCGCTCTCTCTCTGACAAATAAATAAATAAAATCTTTAAAGAAACATAGGACAAAATCCACTGGCACAAGCTTAAGCTCAGAAGGTTGTTCAAGCCTTTCCATGGGCACGTTGAAGCTCTTGCAGTGAGGTGAGCACCAGATTGAGGTGCACCCTGGGGGTTAAGTCCTGGGGGCCAGGTGCTGTTCTAAACACAGGTACCTATCATCCCATCTAATCTGTACAACAACCACAGGAGGTTCTCATTTTACAGATAAGGAAACTGAGGCAGAGAGAGGCTCAGTCATTTGCCCAAGATCACCCAGCTTGTAAGTGAACCCATATTCCAAGCCCAGGCATGTGCCCCAAACCTGTGTCTGCCCCTCATGCTTCTCCAGGTTCTCTTGGCGCCAGGGGCCCGTGAGGGGCTGGAGGAAACAGGAGTAAGTCAGCAGTATGGGGAGTGCGGGGACACGGCTGCAGAGGGTGGTATGGGGGCAGGCACCTCACTGGGGACTGCTCTCCTGGGTGCCCAGGACCTTCTGCGTTGGCAGCCCTCAGTCCTGCGCAAATCAGGACGACTGTTCCCCATAGTCCGCTTTTCTCTGGGGGAACATCTCTGCTCAGGAGGAGCAGGGGGTCAGAGAGTAGCCGCACGTGCAGGAGGGACATTGTTTATCTCACAGACCGTACCGTCTGTCATCCTGGGAGCATTTGGGGGCAGATCCACCCCATGCTCGGGGCCAGGAAATGACCGTCCACCCAAACCTCAATAACAAGAGAATTCGCCTGGGGTACCAGAGCCTAGAACTTTCTGGTGATGGTGGGCTCAGCCAGGAAACCACGTTCTGGTCCCTGAGGTTCAACATCCTTCACAATGTGCCAGTGCGTCCCCACTGGCCTCCGGTCTGTCACCTCAGGGAGAGGCTGATGCTCGGGAACAGGGGCTGAATGTGGTGGAAGATCCAAAACAGAGAAGATGTGGGCCGTTCCTTGCCGGCGGCAGAGCCTGTACTCGATTCCTGAGGTAACAAAGCCCCTCCGACTGGACGACTCATGTGTATTCTCCGAACGGTTCTGGAGGCTGGGAGTCCGAAATCAAGGTGTTGGCAGGGTTGGTTGCTTCTGAGAGCCGTGAGGGAAGGGCACGTCCAGGCCTCTGTCCTCGGCTTGTAGATGGCTGTCTTCGCTCTGTCTTCACATCGTCCTTCCTCCATGTGTGCCTGTGTCCAAATTTCCCTTTTATAAGGATACCATGTCCACCCTAATAACCTCATCTTAAATAATTCATCTAAAATAATTCTGTATCCAATAGGGTCACTGAGGTACTGGGGGTTAGGACTTCAACCTATGAATTTGGAGGCATATAATTCACCCCACACTGGGCATTTGGAAGCAGGTGTGGTGGGAAGAGCGAGCGTTGGCTTGGGGGGACGGTGGTCTGAGGGCCTTGGGTTTACGTCTTAGCTTCTCGGACTCCCTCAATGGCCTTGGGCTCTGAGCCTCAGTTTCCTTCTCTGCAGAGTAGAGCCGGAGAAGCCGTTCATCTGTTCATTCCTCCTTTATCCTTCTAGAGAATGGCAGCTGTGCGCCAAGCGCGTGCTGGGGGATACGTAGTGGGCGCTGACCTCACAGGACGCTGTGAGGACCAGGGAACCCGCGAGAGCTCAAGCAAGCGCAGACACACAGTAGGTGCTCTCTGGGCATCCGCTGCTGCCCTCTCCCCTCCAGCTGCAGTGGGCAAAGCTCTGAGGGCGAGCGGGTTTGGGTTGGTGGAGGCCCCCTGGGCCTCCATTCCATGTGTTCTGTCCAGAGCCTTGGGCTTGAGTGGACACTGTGGATGGCCCTGGTCCAGGAGGCGTCCAGCCAGGGGACCTCCTCCTTGGGGCCTCACAAGAACGAGACAGCCCGGCGTCCCCAGGGAGTGTGGGCAATGCCCCTGGCCGGCGCGAGAAAGCCTAGTGTGGCAGCCCCAGGGCCACAGAGAAGCCGTGAGCCGCTCGCCCCACACGGACGCTAAGGAAAGCCTGACAGGGCTCATGTGCTGTTTTCTCCCCACTACCCTGGGCTCCTGCCTCCTCTGATAAACTCTGAACTGGAAAATCAAAGATGCAGAACAGCACCATTGCCGTTTTCCACTATTTCATGATAGCGTCGAAGCACCAGGGCGGTCTCCAGGCCCAGCATCCTGCCAAAGCCCCAGCCCCAACTCACACAGCCTTTGCACGGAGCCCTGCGGGGCCTCTGGCCAGAGCTTTCTAAATATAGCTCCTTCCTCCTCCAGACAGCAAAGACCAGAGCCTCTGAAAGGCTTCCGTCCTGATGGCTAGGCTCTCGGCTGTTAGGCAGACCTCCCCAGCAGGATGGGGAGAGGGGCAGCACAGACAGGGGGCGGCCAGGGCTGGGGAGGAGGCCCGAAGCCGGCTCGGAAGGGACGCTGAGGCCCCGATGCCCAGGGGCCATGGCCTTGGCCCTGTGTTCCTGCCTTCTGTCCCTGGGGATGTGTGGGGTCTGGGGCCCTGTCCCAGGCAGGCTCTGCTAAGCTGTGACCGAGGGACAGGGGACTAGGCAGGCAGTGCTGAAGGAAGAGAAAAACGATGATCTTCTCAGGAGATGGAAAGAGCCTGCCTTCAGGGTTGAACTCCTGACTCCACCTCTAAGGCGGGTGAGGGCAGATCCTTCACGGTACACCTCAGTTCCCCGTCTGGGAGGTGGGGGTGAAAGACCCTGTTGAGGGGATCCGCGAGAACGTGTGCCCAGTGGCAGCCATGCCAAGGCTGCGTCAGGACGCCGTGGGTTGTCGTGTAGCTCTGCAGGACGGGCACTCAGCCTGGCATCTCCTCCCAGGTGACCCCTGGCCCAGGTCTGCATCGGGCTGTGTCTTTAATTTTGCCTTGGTGAGGCATGGGGTCCTCTTCCAGTCCTCATGGCCTCAGAGGTACCCCAAGCACAGAGCCTCCATGGCCCTTTAGATAGGGAAGCAGCCATCCTGTGCCCAGCGGGGTGCTGAGGCCCCTTGAAAACATCAGCCCAAAGGGAGCAGGTAAGAAAAGCTGGAACGACTGAATAGAATAAAATCTTGGATTTCTCAGCACCAGGCCTGGCTCTGCGTGGGAGGCACCAACCCATGTCCCCCCAGCCCCCACCTACTCCGTTCTGTTTACAGTGGGAGGACTTGCCCTGCCCCCCAGGTCTCTAACGCCAGGAAGGGTGGGACCTTGTCTCCTGCAATTAAGGTGTTCAGAGGAGACCCCAAACTAACGAGCTTATCATATGGAAAGCCTGGTCGTCCGACAAGGAGAGGCCACTCTGCTCCAGGAACTTCACTCCTATTGTGTGTACGGGCCACAGCCCATTGATCTGACATCCTCTGGATCGAGATAAGTCAGGACTAGATGTGAAATCCCCAAGTGTTGCCAGGGATGGAGACAGAGAGCTGCTGGTGGAGACGTCAGCCCCTGTTTAGACTGCCCTTCTGCTGACAAGCTGGTCCCCTGGCAGGGGGGCTCCGTGGGGTAAGGCTTTCTGGTGCTATGGCCACCGTTCACAGGGCACTAACTCAACAGCCCCGTGAAGTCGGTCCTGTTATCACCCTCTTTTTTTTTTTAAGAGAGAGAGAAAGCGTGAGCCGGGGTGGGAAGGGGATGGGCAGAGAGAGAAGGAGAGAATCTTAAGCAGGCTCCACGCTAGGCTCGACCCAGGGCTCGATCTCCCGTCCCTGAGATCATGACCTGAGCCAAAATCAAGAGTTGGATGCTTAACCGACAAAGCCACCCAGGCGTCCCCCACCCTTATTTTCAAAAGGGGTTGAATCAATATATCCGAAGGTCACACAGCTGTTAAGTGACAAAACCAGGATTCAAAGTTTATGCTCTTTTGGCCTCTGTGGTTTCTTCACACGTTGGAGTTCCAGGTTTTCCAGTGATGACAGGTCTTAAAGAACATTTCTAGGGGCTCCCGAGTGCACATATCTACAACAAACAGGCTGGCCAATGATCAGGACAAGAGCCCCGGGCTTTCTGCAGGGGAAGTCATGCTGAGCTGACGTTCCAGAGCTCTAGTAGCTAGCAAAAACATGTCAGCAGAGGAAACCTAGCGTTTTAGCGTATCGAGACTTTTCAAAGGTGTTTGGCAAGGTTCCGTGCCAAAAATGTTCCCGTACCTAGAAGAAACTGAATTGCTTCGCTGGGGCTTTGCAGGGAATGCCCTGTCATGAGGGGAAGGAAGATATTCCGAGGGATGCATGTGCACTCCTCGTGATGGAGAGTGGTAAATAGCAGTGCCTTGCAGGGATTGATGCTTGTGGGGTCTTAGGGCCTATTTTTTAAAATTTAAGATCTGGAAAAGGAAGCATAGAGTGAAAATGCCAAGTCTATAGGATTCTTGGGAAATGAGAAGCCAGATTAATGGAAGGTGTAGGTTTTTTGCCTTGGTTCCCAAAAACTTGCTAATGATCTGCATTTTGTTGGCCTGATGGTCACAGTGCCGTGCAAGTGGTTTCTTCCATCCCACACCGAACTCTCGTGCGCCCCCTAGACGCCAGGCACCATGCGGGGCGCAGACGCGGATCACACATAGTTACCCGGCTTTACACAAGTGGGATTCAATGGGTCTTTCACTTGCTCAATTTACTTACTGAGGTATTGTGAACAGTGCAGTGCAAAGAACTACCTCATTCTTTTTCACGTCTGCCCAGTGGCATTTCCCTGGGAAGTGACCACATATCTATTTTATCCGTTCCCTCTTGTTGGGCCTTTGCACTATTTCTGGATTATAATATAGCAACACTATAGCCTTAAACATCCCTGTACCCCGATATTTGCCCATCTGGACAAGTGTTTCTGAGGATTGTCACCTGGAAGGGAAATTACAGGGTCAGAGGAGATACACATTTAAATTTTTTGTGTGAATACTGATGAATTGCCTGCAAAAATCTCATTCAGTTTTAATTACCCCCAAAGCATCTGGCGATGCCTATTTCCTCAAATCCCTACCAATATTGGATATTATATTCGTTTCCTATTGCTGCTGTAACAACCTACCATAAATTTGGTGGGCTTAAAACAACACAAATTTGTCATCTTACAGTTCCGGAGGTCAGAAGTCTGACACGAGTCTCACCAGGCTGAAATCTGAAATCACAGTGTCAGCAGGACTGCGATCATTCTAGAGGCTCTAGGAGAGATTGTTCTTAGCCCGTGGTCCCCTCCCATCTTCAAAACCGGCAAAGTCTGGGGGCACCTGGGTGGCTTAGTCGGTTGAGCCTCTGACTCTTGGTTTCGGCTCCGGTCATGATTTCAGGGTCGTGAGATTGAGCCCCATGTCAGGCTCTGCGCTGTGGGGAGTCTGCTTGAGAGTCTCTCTCTCTCTCCCCTGCTCTCTCTACCCCTCCCCCCACTCATGCGCATGCTCTCTCTCTCTCAAATCTTAAAAACTCAGCGAAGTCTGGAGTCTCTCTCACCTGGTGTTACTCTGATACTCTTCTGCCCCCCTCCCATTTTCAGAGCCCCTTACAATTACCTTGGGCTCGCCTGGATAATTAGGATTCTCTTCTTATCAGGTCAGCTGACTAGCAGCATCCTGAATTCCACCTGTGACCTGAATGTCCCCTTACCTTGTAGCCTCACGCGTGCATAGGTTCCAGGGAGTCGAATGTGGACCTTTTGGGAGCAGGGCATTTCTCTGCCTACTGCAGATACTATCAGCCTTTTTAGTGGTGTCCACTCTAAGTGAAAACATGGTATCCTGCTCTTCTAAGTTGCATTTTGTCAATTATTTGTGAGGTTAAACATCTTTTTCTATGTGAGGAGACGGAATGGTTTCTATTATCGTAAATTGTCTGTTCGCATCTTTTGTCTCCTTATCTATTTGCCTTTTTGTTGTTGTTGTTGGTTTCAATTGAGTTATAAATTTTTGAGAGCAAGGACTTTTTTTTTTTTTTTAAGATTTTATGTATTTATTTGACAGACACAGCGAGAGAGGGAACACAAGCAGGGGGAGTGGGAGAGGGAGAAGCAGGCTTCCCACTGGGCAGGGAGCCCAGTGTGAGCAGGGAGCCCGATCCGGGGCTCAATCCCAGGAGGCTGTGATCACGACCTGAGCCGAAGGCAGATGCTTAATGACTGAGCCACCCAGGCGCCCCGAGGGCAAGGACTTTTTCACATTCATGTTTATATCTGAGTGCCTGCAGATGCGGCCCGATTCAGAGAAGCTCCACAGAGCCCGTTGGCCCTCCCTCCATCACTCCCACCCCATTCTCTTGCTCTTCTGCTTTGGAAGAAGTGTCTGGACCTGGACGCTTCCAGCCGAACTGGCCAAGTTGAGTGTGACTAGAGGGCGTGATGGTCTGGTGGCTTACTTCCTGCACCGCGGACTTCTCAAGCATGATGGGCTCTGGGGTCAAACAGCCTGAGGGCGCAGCCCTCCGCCTCTGGCCCAGCCCTTCCGGCAGGCATGCTGGCATTTTCGGGTTGCCCGTATGGGAAGAGGACAAGCATTGACCCTTCCTTTTGCGAGGAAGGGCCCCTCTCGCCGAGCTGCCCCACCTTGCTATGCTGAGGCCCTGACAAGACCCACCACCGATGACCCGGCATGGTGCAGCCCCCGGGGGGGCTCGACACCCCCGATCTGCCTCGTGACTCCGACCGACAGGCAGCAGGGAGAGATTACTTTCCCCTGTCGCTGACCTAGAAATGGAGGCTCAGAGAGGTTCCCCAACATGGTATGGCTAGTTTGGGGTACGGGCACTCTTCCCAACACCGGCCCTCTCCGTGGCCTCCCTCTCTCCATTCTCCAGCCCCACGGGCTGGCAGCCCCGAGAAGGCACCTGGGCCGCAGCGCCCATGGCAGCCACACCCCTCCGCCCTTGGGAAGCTAGAAGCTGCCTTGGCCTGCCGGACCCGGACCCGGACCTGGACCCGAACCCGGACCCAGGACTCTAAGGAGGGGGCCACACGAAGCCCTCTGCAGCCCTTTCCTTCCTGGTCAACAGCCTGGGCTCCGCCTCCTCCTGTGCCACCGCCCTGGGGCTGGAACTCATTACTCTTTTATTAAATCCATCTGCTCTGCTTGGAGACGGCCCGGCGTGTCGGCGCTCCCCGCCCTGGATATGTGGCGGGGGGCTGCACACAGATGACATTGTGTGAACTGGGACGGCATCCTGGAGGGCAGACGCCCAGGCGTGCTGTGGGGGCGAGGGCCCCGCCCGGCCTGGAGGGTGCGGACGCTGAGCCGCAGGAGCTAACTGGGCTCTGGAGGGAGGGGGGTCTGGAGCCCCTTCTGCAGCCCCCAGAGCCTGCGGGGCCTGGGATGCAGGGGGGCTTTGCCTTTGCAGGGCACCGCGGGCTCGCTGCCTGGCCTTTCACTGATGAAGCTGCTCCCTCCCTCTCCGCAGGAGTGCATCATCGACGAGGACTGCGGGCCCACCAGGTATTGCCAGTTTGCCAGCTTCGAGTACACCTGCCAGCCTTGCCGGGACCAGCAGACCGTGAGTGCGCCCAGAGGCCTCTGCAGCTGCAGCATGGGAGCCATGGGGGCTGGGCTGGGTCCCAGAGAGGAGGACCTGGGGGGGAAGGCCAGCAGCCCCATGGTTCTCAGTTGGGCTTCCGGAAGCCTTCAGTGGGCTTAACCATGGCCATGCTGGGAAGAGCCTCTCCATGATGCCCAGCGGGGGGGCTGCCTCCTGGAGGGACTAGGAAGCCATGTGCAGACCCGCCACGTGGTCCCTGGCTCCACTGCCTGCCTCGTGGGTGACAGAGGGAGAGAGGGAAGACAGAGCCCCACACCTGCCCCTTCCCCTGGGGCAGACCCGTCCCCAGGCTGTAACACTACTGCAGCCCCACCCCCACCCTCCAGATCTTTCTCCCGATCTGCCCAGAGCAGGCAGAAGGAGGCCAGGAGGGAGGCAGAGTGCGGCCCCGGTAGGCATTTCACAAAGAAGCACGAAGCCCGGGAAGCGGAAACTCCCTCCACCCAACAGCTGTTTTGGACAAAGCCATATGGGCTCATTGGCTTCTCTCGTCCTTTTTCATGATTAAGACAGTAACACAGCATGATGACAAATGTGGGAAGTGGAGGGCTTCTTACTCCCCTGTCCGTGGTCAGGCAACTGCAGGTGTCCCTCGCGCCTGCCGTGTCTGAGCCCGACCGCGGGGTCCCAGGCTGTTGTGCCCACTCCCAGCGGCGGCACCCACGGGCCCTCCCCATCCACCAGGCCTCCGGGTTGGGCCTTGAGTTAGCTCTCAGAATCCGGCTGCTGCCTGCCTCTGTGGGCCAGAAGCCACCTTCCGTCCTGACTACGGAGCTAACAGAAAGGAGCCAAGGCACAAGCCTGTGGGGGAAACTGCGGGACACACTGCGTCCTTTGCAGAATCTCAAGTTGCCTAGGAAGACCCAGATACAGGACTCGCCTCAGCTGCCACTTTCCCAGTGTCCAGACCCCTCCCATCTCCCATCTCTGCCCTCTGCCTTCCACTGAAAGCCCCACAAACCAAGGCCTCGGCACTTGCCCCCCGCACCCCACTTGCCCCCTCGCCCGGGGTGATGAGAGCATGTGCTTAACACACCTGGGGCGTCTTCAGGCTTTCAGGGCTAGGAGCCAAGCAGGCTGGGTTCTCTCAAGTGCGTGAGCCGGCATGCTTGCGTTTGCCCTCCTCTCTGCAGCTCTGCACCCGGGACAGTGAGTGCTGTGGAGACCAGCTGTGCGTCTGGGGTCACTGCACCAAAACAGCTTCCAAAGGCGGCAACGGGACCATCTGTGACAAGCAGAGGGACTGTCAGCGTGGGCTGTGCTGTGCCTTCCAGAGAGGTGGGTGGGCTCTGCGCTGAGTACGGGGCAAGCCCTGTCCCACGCTCCACCACACGAGGCTTCCTGGGGCTCCATCCATGCCAGACACACCTTTTCAGGGTCCCACCGCCTGGGCAGGCCCCCAGATGCTCACTCAGGGTGTGTCCCAGCCCCACAACCTCTGCCTGAGGCAGGCCCCCGCCTGGAGGGGACCACCATCTCTCTTGCTCTCTCTCTGTCCCCTGTTGACACCTAGAGAAGTTAAATTCCTTCAGGATGCATGAGCTCAGGGCAGGAGGAACACCCCCAGATGGGTGGGATTTGAACAACCCCTCTCCACCCTCCAGCTCATTTCCCGGGCCCCGAAGGTAGCACCTGGCTCCGTGCTCTTTCCTGAGTACAGCCCCCTTCTATTCCTATTCCAGTCTCACTGCCCCTCCCGGGTGAGGTTGCTCAGGCACTCCCCTTCCTGCCGGGTTTCTGAAAATCTCTCCCTTAGCTGCCTCCCCAGCTCAGCCCCTGCAGCCCCCAGTCCACCTGCTCCCTGCTGTCCCAGCCATTTTCCCCAGGTCAGCTCTCGCAGCGTGGTTGCTCTGTTCTGGCTCCTCAGTCTGCCTTTCAAGGCCTCGACCAGCTGCAGCTTCTCTGTCCGCCTTCTCTCTCCAGGGCTCCCAGCCTTTCCCACCACGCCCAACCCCAGGCCTTTATTGGCGCTGTGTCCCAGCCTTGAGGGCCTTTCTTAGACTCTTGATTTCTCCAGGCTTTTGGCTTCAAAACCCAGCATAAGCCCTCGTCTCCACGCAGTCCTCCCTAAGTGCTCCAGCCCTCCTGAGCCCATCCTGCCCTTGTTTCTTCTCATCCCACCTCTTCAGTTTTAATCTCCACTTTGCGGTTGAGGGGGGAAGGTCGGGGCTGTCCCCCATTTCTCTGCTCCCTTCCGTGGTGCCCCCCTGCTCGATGCTGGGCACGCAGGGATGACTGTCCACTGGCCCCAGGTCTGCTGTTTCCTGTGTGCACACCCCTGCCCGTGGAGGGTGAGCTGTGCCATGACCCCGCCAGCCGGCTTCTGGACCTCATCACCTGGGAGTTAGAGTCTGACGGAGCTTTGGACCGATGCCCGTGTGCCCGTGGCCTTCTCTGCCAGCCCCACAGGTGAGGCTCCACCTGCCCTCCCTATCAGAGGTCGAGAGCAGATGAGGTGCCACCCAGTGGGATCTCAGGAGCAGAGGGGTGATGTGTTTAGGGTAGTTTAGGGTAGGTTTAAGTGGAGGTGTCCTTGGATCATCCAGAGGCTGAGTCTCACAGCAGTCAGTGACCGTCGGTCTGGGGCTCAGGAGAAGGTGTGGCTGGGGTTACGGATTTGGAGCTCGTCTGCATGGTGGTTGAAGCCTCATGAGGAGGTGATCCAGGGGGAGGGGGAGGAGGCAGAAGAGCTGGGAGCTGAGGCGGGAACCCAGGCCCTTCACAGTAAGGGACAGACCGAGGAAGAACCAGCAGAGGTGCCTGAGAAGGCACAGAAGTAGAAGGGAAACTGGGAGAGAGGGCCCCCAAATTGGGCTCTGCTAATAGTGTCCTAAGCTGCTGAGACACCATGAAGCATCTGAGGTGTGGCCTCCCTGCAGTCACCACTCACCTTCCTCGCTGCCCAGCAGCATCCAGGGTGGCTGGGCAGACACACAGGACTCCCCGGCCCCGCCTCACGAGGCCCCGGGGCTGCCCACAGGTGCAGCTGATGTGACAGTCAGGGGCTGCTGCCACGTGGAGGCCCAGATGGGCAGGCGGCTGAGAGGGGCCACACACTGCCGTAAACTCTCAGGCCCCGCAGTGCTCAGGGCCTGCCCCAGAGAGTCTCACCGGAAGACAGACCTCCCCTGGAGGTGCGGGGTGGGGGTGCCCCTGGAAAAGTGACCATCCCTCAGCCATCTTTTTTAAGGTACGATGTGGACGGGAAGGTAAGACTCCGTTGAGGTGTTAGAGGAGGTGTGAGGGTGAGCTCAAAGCGAGGGGCCTTGTTTCGGGCGCGGGCGTGTTGAGGGCCCCCGCGTCACCCCTCCCCCACAGCGCAGAGCCAGGGCCTTCGGCTGAGCCCAGCCCCGGTCTCTCCCCAGCCACAGCCTGGTGTATGTGTGCAAGCCGGCCTTCCCTGGGAGCCGAGCTGAAGACGGAGAGAGCCTGGGGCCCAGGGAGGCCCCCGACGAGTACGAGGATGGCAGCTTCATTGAAGAGGTGCGCCAGGAGCTGGAGAACCTGGAGAGGAGCCTGTCTGTGGAGATGGCACTCGGGGAGCCCGGTGCTGCCTCTGAGCTGCTGGAAGGAGAAGAGATTTAGACGGAGGCCTGTTCTGCGGGTAGACATGCGATAGAAATAGCTAATTTATTTCCCCAGCTGTGTCCTCTAGGTGTGGGCTTTTTTCCATGGCCTCTTCCCAGTACATTTTCCCTCTGGCTTAAAACAAAACGAGGTGCTGTGCATTTGTCCAGCTCCCGCGGACTGTACACCATCCATCACAGTCCGGGTGCCTGGGTCAGGCAGGGGGGAGGGGTGCGGGAAGTGTGTGGGAGGGTGCAGGGCTGCCGCGCTGGTCCAGATTACTGGCCACTTGGGCCTCTCGTGGCTGGCACCTGGCACGTTTCCTTTTTTCTATATCACCTTGAGAATTGGAGGAGGGGAGGGGCCGGAAAAGGATGCAGATGTCCCCATGATGGGTTTTGGGGAAATGTGGACTCATACATATGGAGAACAGTGCCCTGCTTTGCAAATGTGAGCCTGGCGAAATGTAACAAATGAATTTTCCATGTACTTCTTCCCATGGGCACAGGCAAGCTGTGCGTTCCGCTGCTGTGGGTGACGTGTTCCGCTCGCTCCGTGTCATGTGCATCCCTGTCCTGTCAGCAGTGTTCCTCGGCTCCTACGTCTGTCTGGGGGCAGCAGTTTCATACCCCTCACCACAACCTGGCAAGGACAGTGGCGGTCTCCCCATCTGTCAGCATCTTGGAGTCTCAGAGACACCAAGTTGCTTGCCCGGGTCACACAGCGAGTGAAGACCAGTGCAGGATGGCTCCCAGGTGTGATTCCAAGCACATGCTTTCCCTACCCCTCCCCACCAGGCCAGTGCCACCTAAAGTTCCCTCTAAAAGGTGGCTGGATGGGAATTTTTCTTTTGAGGCATATCCGGAATTGAGGTCAGTCTAGTTCACTGTAAGATTAAACTTCTACTGTTAGACGTAGCATTCTCCCTTGTGTGGGGGTGGCCATCATCCCAGTGCAGAAGCAAAGGGTATCAACACTCTCCCCCTATGGCAGGTGGTTATGTTAGCGACTAGGAAGGTGCTTGGTTGGTGCAGAATATATACGTCCACTTGCCAGAAACAGTACTTAAGTAATTGTAGGGCCAGGATTATAAATGAAATTTGCAAAATCACTTACCAGCAACTGCAGACCATTATCAACCACATGGAGAAAATCAAAGCAAGGTTTTATGAAATACGGCTGTAATATCCAAACTGAGAGCACTGGGCTGCATGTTATTCCGTAAGCGATATTTGCAGGTGCCATGGACTGTTTCCATCAAGTATTCATCCAGAGTTATTAAATTTTAAAATTGCACATGATTGTATAAGCATGCTTTGAGTTTTAAATTATGTATAAACACCTATGTTGCATTTAAAAATCAAGCATAAATCACTTAAACTACTCCTTTGTAGTTCTTGGATGTCTTTTTTCCTTTTGACTTTGAGTAAGTAAAAAACACTTTGAGCCAGAAAAAATAAAATGGAAATGAACTGCCTTGTTAAAAAAAAAAACAAAACCCGAAAAGACTTCCACATAAGCGAATTTTCCAGACAAGTGAAGCACACCTGTTTTAGCACCAAAATATTTTAGAAATGCTAACCATTTTTGTCAGGGATTAGTTTTAAGAGTGGGAATACTTCACTGTCTTCTGAAAGAGTAAATGGAATGTATATGACTCTAAAAAAAAAAAAAAGAGCAGGAGTTGGGGAAGGGCCAGAGGGAGAAAGAGAGAAGCAGACTCCCCCACTGAGCAGAGAGCCCAATGTGGGGCTGGAGCCTGATGCGGGGCTCGATCCCAAGCCCCTGGGATCATGACCTGAGCTGAAGGCAGATGCTTAACTGAGCCACCCAGGCGCCCCTGGCTATTTTCTTTCTATTCAAATGTTCCAATCATAACACAGATCTTTAGGGACTGTAATCATAAAACTACTATATATTAAGGTCAGCTGGGTGGCAGGCGCCAGATTAGGTAGGCTACCTATATTACCTCATTTAATCTTCATTGAATCTAGGGGTATTTTCTTCATTTAACAGATGAAAAAAATGGAAGCTCAAAAATATTGGGTGATAGAGCTAAAAGTCAAACAAATAGTATCTAGTATAGTCTGCTCAGGATATACTAATTAATTTTAAGATCAAATATAGAGCTGCTCTCTATTCAATGTCAAAGTCATCACGACCACGCTACATCCTTATCACTCAACAGTTATTTACTGAGAGCTGCTCAGAACCAGGTGCTGTGATAGGCTCTGGGGGTGCCAAGTGGATCCAGAGAGGGCTCCTACCCTGAACGCATCACGGCCTCCCAAGGCATACACACTAAACCCAGCACCCACAAAGCAAAAGCAGTCAACCCGGTGTCAGAACAGTGTTATGGGAGCCTCAAAGGAGCACTTGGTTTGGGAGCACTGGCATGGGGACTGGCTCTCAAAGATCAGAGGAGTTTATCAGGCGGTCCGAAGGAGTAGGCAGGGGCACTCCAAGCCAGGGGCAGAAAAAGGGATGGTATATAGAGGGAACAAAGTAATTCACAGTGGCTGGAAGGCAAGGTAAATTTGAATTGAGTGTTTGAAGAAGAGGCTTGAAATGGTTTCAGTCGACGAAAATGTTACTGAGTTCCTACTGTATGTCAGGCCCTACCTATATTAAGTGCCAGGAGAAGGTGGAACATGAGATAAGACTAGGTCCTCCCCATGGAATTCTATCCTGCACCACTTTTGTCATCAGAGCCCCCTTCTAGGGGGAAACTGCAATCAACAGAACACAGTTGGCACAGTTACTGGAAAAACAGAACCCCTGCATATTTGTATCTCAACAAGTCGGTACTCCTGAATTAAATGGGTTACTCAAGCATCATAAAAGATGCTGAACACTAAGTGTGCCCTCTGTACTGGGGAAAGAGGCAGACTGGGAACAAAGAAAGCAGAGAGGGAGCATGGTCCCCACTTCTCAGGCAAGGCTATACGGTCTACTAATGATTCCTGGGCTGGTGAATTCTCAGGCTCTGACCAGTCGGAAGACCTGCTTCTCCAGTAGAGAGTAGCTGGTAAGCGGAGGAAGAGCCGGTGCTGTCACGGGGAAGGGGCAGAGCATTCCTCCCCGACGCTTTTTTGCCCTCCTAACTTTGCCACTATGATTGCTGCATTCTAAATGGTCACACATGCCTTCACACACTCTTGATTTTGTCATGTACCCTTGTTCCTAGAAGTCAAGTTTTGAAAACACTGTATCTAACCAAGTGGTCATATAGCACCCTTCTTCCCCACAGGAACGACCCTGAAGGAGCGTCTTCTGGTTTTGTGTATACCTAGTCTCGACTGGCCACAACCTTTATTTGGGCCCTCAACTCCTTTGCAAACCTGATAAAAAGTTTACTAGCCCCCCAGAAAACTATACGTTTCACACAGTTTTGCTTTTTAAAAGACTTGAATTGCCTTATACTAGTGACCAAAATATTGATTTGCTTTTCAAAAATTAAACAATTTAGATGGAATAGTTTTATTTAGCAAATTAAAAAAACCCTGCTACTTCAGATTATCCTCTATTCCATATACTTTAGACTATAATTTGTAAGTCACAAATGCGAGAGTTGGCTAGGGTCTTGATGCTAAACAACGGGACAAAATTCAGAGGGAGATCTTTTCCAATCGGAAAGCAAATACCAGCGAATGAACCAGAATAAATGATTTTATTGTATTCCATACATTCACAGGTCACTTCCAGATTTAGCAACGACACTGATTAGCAATGCTCTGATTCCATGCCCTCATTTAGCTTAGGCCACGCTGTAAGTTCTCCCTCTCTCCCGCTCTCCCGGCCTATAGTGGACACAACACCCTTCCAACCATGCAGCCTGGCAATGGTTTTCTAGCTCAGGCGTAGGTTCACAGCCTCCCCCCCCTGCCCCCATCTTCTCTAAGTACTTTCCATCCATTATGGAAGAGACCGTCTAAGACTCTAGTGTAGGGCTCCTTCACTGTTTTTATCTCATCATGACTATCAGGCCCTACTCACACTTCCTTGGTTTGGCAACTGGACTTCCAGCTGCAAGCTTCTGTACAGACCAGCCAGACACAGCATGTCATGAAACCACAAGCTTTCTTTGACCAGAACATACCCCTCGCCTTCAGCACCTGTCTCAGATGTAGGTACTTGGTTCTCACCTGGCGTGCCTGGCTGACGCAAACCCATCTTTCCCATGGTAGAAGCTCTTCAAAACCTTGGTGTGACCTGTGAGGAACAGGGTCACAGTTTATTGCATGTGGCTTGTGTCGCCTGCCCCACACAGTCCGTGCTCTAACTCTCGGCTGACGGGTCCTCACAGGATTCTCTTAACCTGAGGGAGGCGGACACACGTTCACTTCCCTCACGTAAATTACCACTCCCATCACCACAAATTGAGTTTGAAAAGTTCACCACCCCTTTGCTGAAATTGTTAAAGTGCAGCATTGTGTTCTCACTCTATCAGGCACTGAAAAGCAAGAAGCTTTAAATTGTTCTTTTCTATATTTTCTTTACTCTTGATATTTGTGGTATGCCTGCAAGCAAACACAAAAACAAAAAGCAGGGCAGAAGGCACAAAATGAGGAGCAGGTGTGAGAATTTTACCATTTTACTCTTAAAGGAACACCAAACCAAACCAAACCCAAAGCCCATTTTGTTTACAATCAGCCTCTTCTGCTCCAGAGAGTGGGTCCTCAAGAGCAGAAACTCAATTTATTAACCCCTACATTCCAAGTAAGTAGGCCTGTATTAGAACCAAAGAGCTGTCGTGTTACATCAGAAAATCCAAGTGATCCAAAAGACAATTCACCAAAAATGCTTCCAAGTTTTTCCTCTGAGAACGCCAACTCCACTAAATGCAAACTTGGAACATACTTCAGTGAAATTTAGCAGAATGCTACACAGTTTACATGGAATAAAAATTAGCCAGAAAAATACCTTAGAAAATATTTTTTCCCCCTGTGGATTTCAAGAAACTTTAAAGATATTATGGAATTCTCAATTATTATGTTCAAAGTACAGAGCCAACATCTGCTAATACTTTTTCTAATTCTATCTTTCTTAAAAGGAAAGAAGGTAAAAACCTGATTTTGAAATATTGATAGGATCCTCCAAAGTTAAGTATTAACATCTTTTCATCTCTCTTATGAGAACTTTACTGTAAACGTACCTTACAGAAATGAGATAATTATTCAGTACATGTTACAAAATGTTAAAACAAATCTCTTCTTAATCCAGATTCTTCATCCACAAAAGTTTAATGACTAAAATAACACAACAGAATGAACAAATGTTTTATTGGCATGTTCATTGTTGTAAACAGCATCTGGCATGAAAAAATTTTACCAAAACCTTTTTATTGACTTTTATAAATTAGATGGCATTTTCAAAATTTATGTAGGATTGTGTTCATTGAAGTCCTATTTAGCAAAGCTAAAACTTGCCAATTCTAATAGACTTTGCAATGAAATCATGTTGACTGCATCAGCCTGTGCAGTGACCTGACTTACTAGCAAGTTTTTTCAACACGATGTTAAGACGCTTCCGCAAAGTTAAACTACATGTAACTACAAATCAACTCCAAAAATTAAAGTGGGACTTACAAGGGTTCTAGAAGATTCAAACTTGAAGTAAACCTTCAAAAATAAATGTACAAAGAAAAAAAAAAACTGAAGCTGCTGAACAGAAAAACCTCATTAACAAGGGCAAATACAATCGTATGGGACCCAGCACTGAGGAACCTCACTGAGGATTACATTTACACAGACTGCTATACTCCTCAATGTACACAAATGTACATCATGAATGATATGTGAAAAGAATAACGATGGGAAATAGTTGAACTGCAATTATGATAACTCAATAGGATCAATTTTATTTACATGCTAAATGAACGAGTGAAACGTATTCTCTACATCCATAACTTAAGTACAATCAGTTATAATTACAATATTGCAGCAATTTGAGCTGCTACCTGCTGGGAGAGGTCTAAGGGAAATGTTTTGATGTTCCAGAATAATGTTCTTAATACTTTGCAAAAAACGAAACAAAATAAAAACACAACTTCACAATTCTTTACTGGGTTATGGCTGGTTCTAAGAATTTCTTTCTTCAGCTCCTATTTTTGCTGCTTTCCAAAGGTCAACATACGTTGCATTTACTTCCGAATTGTCAATGAGGTAATGTGTGTATCAGTGAAATAAACAGAAAATTCATTCATTCATGGCCTTTGCACAGCTTTTATTATGAAGCTATGAGCATCCTGTCTGAGGCTAGTTTTACTAGCGGCTAGGTGCACATTTGTCCGCGATAAAAGAAGTACTCATTCCCCTTCCCCCTTTTCTAGTAGCAGGTTTTGCTTTTTTTTTTGTTTTATTTTTTTGCACATCCCTTTTCACTTTACAGTACATTTGACTATAGTGCACAACATGATTCCAAGTCAAAACAGTGGCCCATCGGGCCCTGAGCTTCTGATTGGTCAAGGGCTGTCCAATCAGTGCTGGTGTCACTGGGTTACCCCTAACCATGTCCGGCCATAATGGCACTACACAGTAGCAGTGAACCATCTAATTAAAACCAAAAATCCCCCAGGGAAAATGCTATACTAGCAGAGTCAGTCTTGAGTCAGATCTTTATTTGGTGCTCCATCCAGATATATTTTTAGTGCTTTCTCTTTCCGAGGTGAGTACGTTACACGATGTCCCGTCTTCTGGAGTCGACTGCTTTCTTTTTTCATCAGTTCATTTCTTTGCTCATCTGTTAACTCCATTAATTCTTCTGTCTTATCCCTGTTTAAAATATTAATTACGTATTAGATCAGTACAGCCATCTGCCTTTATTGACTTATGCTTGAATGTTATAATGCTCCTTGGTGAGAAAATGAAATGTGATTGTCACTGGTGAAGTTAACTAATCTCACACCTTAAGATGTCCTGGATTTCTAATATGTTTATTAACACAGCACTCACTTCTAAAAATGGCATAGAATAACTTCCATGCTATTATTGGTATAATAATAGCTATCACTTATTGAACATTTATATATAACAGGTACTATGCCAGTTTTTTTAAATGCAATAGCTCTAGTTCTCATAAAATCCTGCAAGGTTGACATCATTGTCACCATTTTACAGATGAGGAGCTAGGTAAATAACAAAGCCTAATCTGAACTCATATCTGTCACAGGCTCCAATGACTATTCTTTTCCTCTGTATCTGTGTTGGCTCATACGGTAACCTCCTCCTCCATGTGCCTACCGAATGCTTGAAACCTACTAAAAGTGTAACACACACTATTTCTAGGACTTACTATAAGAAAAAAGATGTAAAACATCTCATGAATGACTTTTTATATTGATTACATGTAATGATTAACATTTTGGACACAGTGGGTTAAAATACTTTATTAAAATTAATTTCACCAGTTTCTTTTTAAAAAGCTTTTTAAAGTGTGGCTACAAGAAAAATTCAAAATGTAATGGGTGCCTCTTGTATTAACTACTACTGATTAGGGCCGCTCTATATCATAAACATAGTAAAGGAAAAAAAAACATAGTAAAGGCATTTACAGAGAACAAGATACTATGCACACAAAAAAAATGTGACATCACTGGGAGTAACAAATACATTGTAAATGTACCTATAAAATATGACTGCACCATCATCACAGATATAAAGAGGCCAGACATTCAGGGTAGAAACTTTAGGATTCCAGTCCAAATCCTGATGAATATCAAGGACAGAAATATCACAGGGAAAAGTTCCTCTACCCTAGGGAAAAAATGAATGAATGAATAAATCATGCTGTTAGCCATGTTTATTGAGCACTAGTATGCAAATGCAAACATTCTCAGGGCTTTACCTTGGCAAATTCAATATCTTCCAAAGGAATTCCACTGATTTCAGAAAGCTGTAAAAGGAAACATTTTATATGAGTTCATTTAAAAAACTAAATTTGTTAAAATAAGTCATCCTTTTTTTAAATTTTATTATGTTATGTTAATCACCATACATGACATCATTAGCTTTTGATGTAGTGTTCCGTGATTCATTGTTTGCGTATAATACCCAGTGCTCAACCATCAACCTTTTAACCCACACAGAAATAGCTTGATTTTTTTTTCAAAGATGTAAAGTTTGCTATAAAATATTAGGGAAAAAAGAGCAGAAAGATGAATTGTCTCCCTTCTCCCCTGCAAATGCCATGTCCCAGAAATACCAATTTAGTATATTCCTTCCAGACCCTTTCCTATGCATATATAAACTACATCACATATTTCTAAAATACATAAAATTACATTTATGAAACATCTCTATAGAATAATTTTATACAGCCTATTTATAAGAACAGGATACAGAGTAACCTCATTCTCTTCAACAGCTTAATATACTATTTTATTCCCTCCTGAGGGACATCAAATCTGTTTTTAATTTTTCCCAGTTACAACGCTATACTATATACCTTCATGAATATCCTTGCATATTTCTGCAAGTATTTCTTTTCGGTTGAATTCTTAGATGTGGAACTGCATATCTGAAATGTTGCTAATGCCAAACTGAAGCCTGAAAAAACTGTATCAATTTAACTACTTATCAATGTTGTATGATATTGCCTGTTTTCCCCAAACCTTGATGATTCTAGGTATTTTTAATGTTCTAAATTTTCACCACTTTAAGAGGTAAAGAATGCTATTACTGTTTTAACTTGTATTTCTTCTTCAACAAACTGCCTAATCAAGTTCTTTGCCTATTTTAAAATTAGATTGTTCATCTTTTTTTTATTAATGCGGTAGCTCCTTATAAATATGGATGATCGTGTTTCATATCTGTTTTAAATATTTTTCCCCTTTCTTGTTTTTTATCTTTATTTATGGGTTGTTTAAAAAAAATGGGGAGGAGGCTGTGTATGAAAGGTTTATGCTTTTATGTGATCTCTTCTTTTTTTAGTTTCTGGTATTATGTTTACAAATATCTTTCCCTTTCCAGGATATAAAAATATTTTCAATATTTTCATCCAGTACATTTGTCATTTTATTTTTATATAAATTTAATATATTTAGAATTTATTTTTGTGTTTGGTGTGAATTATGGAAATAAAATTTTTTTCTCAAGATGCTAATTGTCCTAGTACTGCTTAGGAATAATTCACCCAATCCCCATAGAACTGTAGAATTCCCACCTTTAAAATGAATAATGCAAAAGAGAACTTCATCTGGATTCTTTATTCAATTCCACATTATTTGGCTTTTTAAAATATATACAGCAATTTACTCTAGTAACTTCTAACTAATCCTAATTACTGAGGAAAAACTTGATCCAAGTAACTAAAAGTGAGGGTCCACTTCTGGATGGCCAAAAGCCAGTATAATTTTTCAAAGCACCAGGAACCTAAAGAACAAGGAGTGCGTGACAAAGTGTCACAAGGTATGAAAGAGACAAAGAAAGAAAGGTTGCCACATTAGTGTTTGGCACTCATTTCCTAGGCCCTCTCTTAAGTAACACAGAGAAAAACACATGTTAGTTCAATCTGCTTTAAAATGAACTTACCTTCTCTCGCAGCTCATCAACACTACTGCTTTCCAACACAACCTCCTGGAAAGGATCCAGCTTCATCTCTGACGGTCTCCACCTTCTTGACAGAACTGCAAGCTGGGACATGGATTTCATCTTCTCCACCCCTATGAAGATACAAGATTACGTCACCTTTCTCTTTTCTCTAGAGGTTCGTACTTTGACTTTTTCTGTATTGCCTGACTACCCAAAAAGATTTACTTCAAGTGTTATGCTGAGATAGTGGATATAAAATAACCCAGTTATCCCAAGGAGTTTTTGAGAATACAATACTTCCTCTCTTCCCTCCAGTCTCTGAGGAGAATTCCTTACTCTTTTGCAAGCTCTCCTTTCACCAGGACTCCGAATTCTCCTTCCCGAGTCCTGCTGGACACTGCTCTACCAACTACTCTCTTCTCCGGATTGCCAATCTTTGCCTCTGTGTTGGCTACTACCCCCACAAATCATCTTCACTTCATCTTTCTTCACTCAGACTATCATTAATCCCTCTTTTCATTTACTCAACGCTTACTGATTCTTCGAAACCCAGCTCAATTGTCTCCTTTCTCTCTGACGTATACAAGAGCAAATGACTGATTTGGTCCTTAGGAACTAGGATTTGGGAATTACAGGTTTGCAGTTCTGGTTCTCTTATAGACTATGTATCTATAAGGGCAATCACTGGTTCTTATTCATTTCTGTAGCAACAGAGATTAGCAGTGTCTGGCAATTTACAGGTTAATAAATGTTTGAGATGTAATCACGTGATTTATTTCTTACTCAACTATTTTGATGCTAAAATATATACTGAAATGATACTGATGCAGGCACCCACCATCCAGTAACATCTCGCAGCTAATCCATCTCAATCCCTCCTAACAAGGGGAACTTCTATGTTCTTCATCATCTCTTCCTGGCCTACCAGACAAAGTGATTATTCTCTAAGGCCCGAGACACTCAGAGAAGGAATCACAGTCTGGAGCACCTGCCTACAGAGCATGGTAGACAGTGTCCTAGTTGTTCCTTGTCTCTCCCGTTTACCTGTCAATTAATCAGAGCTTTAACAACTGAAATTTAAAACTGGACCCAAAATATCCTGAAATAGGTGAGGTGTTAGTATTATTGAACCCTCTGAAAACTGTCACAATCTTATGATATTTTAATTTCTATGGGGGGGGAAAGGAAAATCGAAATCTTTCTAGGCGACAGCACTCACCAAAGAACACAGAACTAGTTGTTTCCTTGATATGATCTCCCCAAAGTCAACTTTTCTCCCATTACCTCCTCCAAAAAACCAGTACTTTAAATGTTTCAATGTTGAACATTAAAACCAGGAGGTGTGACAAACACAAGTCCTCTTCTAGGTTACTGTTACAGGTTGAACGTGTCTCCTCCAAGAGACATTTAAAGTCCTATACCCTAGTACCTCAGATTATGACCTACTTTGGAAATAAGGTTGTTATAGTGGTAATCAGGTTAAAATGAGGTCATTAGGGTGGGCCTTAATCCAGCATGACCGGGGGGGGGTCATGGGGAAATATGGGGGAAATTTGGAAACAGACACACAAGCCCACAGGGAGGACATTATGTGCAGATGAAAGCAGAGATCAGGAGATGCATTTCCAAACCAACAAACACCAAAGACTGCCAACCAACCACGAGAAGCTAGGAGAGCGACATGGAACAAATTTTCCCTCACAGCTCTCAGAAGAAACCAACCCTGCTGACACCTTGATCTCAGACTTCCAGCCTCCAAAACAGTGAAACAATTTCTGTTGTTTAAACCATCCAGTTTGTGGTACTTTGTTATGGCAGCCTAGGAAACTAATACAGTTATTGTTCTCAAAATCTCTGATCAATTATCAATACTACACCCTCTAACAAAAATAAGCCATAATGAAGAAAGAAACTAAATAACAAACCCAGGTAAGAAAACGTTAGCAGAATTTTCTTTAAAAAGTACTTAAAAATGCAACTTTGAAACTGCAACTTCCCTGTAAGGAGAAATTAATATTTTCAAAATTAGAGAAGAGAAATATTTAAAAGGTAACTGCAACCCAGACTAAAGACAGAAGAAAACTTGCTATGTGATAAAAAAAAAAAAAAACTATAGGCTTCTATTAGTGCCAGAGCATTTCTAACTGATATTTCCCCACAAAAACATAGATAATACCATCAAGAACTTCAAGGAAAACCTCCCAGTTGCTGGAGATATTAATATCTTCTTCATAAATATGATAATCCAAAAAGACAGTGCCAGGATTCTTCCATGTTTTTTTCCTTAGACGAAATCTACAAATGTGATAAGACATTTTAAATTACTGTATTTTGAGATTCTTAAAAAAATGACATGAATCTGACATCAAGGAAAAATGAACTATGTTTAAATACAAATGTCAAGTGGTTAATTAAAATTTTGGAAAAATATGAGATGCTGCTCAAACTTCAAATTTAGGGTCCTACAGAGGAAGTTCAAACAAATTCTAATAGTTTTGCTTAGTTCTACTAAAAATTAATCTGTAGTACTAAAATTCTGAATAGGACAGGAATTTTTAATTCTAGTTTGAGAAAATTATACCAATCCATATCAACTGACCACACAGTCTTTCTTCCTTCCAATTGCTGATGACACTGTAATTTTACTTTACCTGTCAATACTGAGCTCTAAACCACACTGCTCCCTGAGTTGAGGAATTAATTCCTCTTTTGATTGCCGTACAGTCATTCCTTTAGCAAACACAGCATCTAGCAGAAACTTGCATGGCTAGGAATATAAACATCATCAGAGAATTCAATTACACATTCAAATAGGGATATACGAGACATTTTATTTGCACTTTATAGTGTGACAATTACAGGCCTGAGTTTAGGAATCTATCTTCCTAGGTTCAAGTCTTGGCTCTACTACTGACTAACTCTGCTATCTTGAGCAAGTTTACTTAACACTTCTGTGCCCTTTTTTCATCTGTAAACTGGGGACAGTGTCTTCCTCACAGAGTCACTGTGGAGATTAAATAACATTTATATTTCTCTTCTTATAACAAAATGATCACAATTTTTAAAGTAAAAAGAATCCCTTTTATGGACTAAGATGAGGGATATGCATACTAATTCTCCAAATACATTTATTCATTGTCTCAGAAGGGACACTGTCTCTGCAAACCCCAACGCTGGAAGAAACATTCACATATAAGAGATATGACAGATGCTCAATAAAATATCTGTTGAACAAATGAAGGCATTTTAGGAAAAAATTATCCCCTTCCAGTAGTCTCTCTTTACCCATGGCTTCCCTTTCTGCATCTTTAGTTACTTGTAGCCACTTGGGGTCTGGAAGCAAATAATCCTCCTTCTGACAACTCGCCAGAAGGCCCGTAATAGCCCAATGGTACACTAATAATCAGTGCCTACGCCATGTACCTTCACTGCGCCTCATCACACAAGCATTTCATCATTTCATCACAAGAAGGTGACAGGAAATATAGCACAATAAGATATTATGAGAGACCACATTCACATACCTTTTATTATAGTATACTGTTAAAACTGTACTATTTAATTGGTAATTGTTAATCTCTTACTCTGCCTAATTTGGTAAATTAAACTTTATCAAGGTATGCAAGGAAAAAGCATAGTTTATGTAGGTGTGGTACTATCCGCGGTTTCAGGCATCCATGGGGGGGGGCGGGGTCTGGGAACATATCCCCTGTGGATAAGGGGGGAGCACTATTACATTTGCTGTTTGGTTTTCACACTTGTCTAGGTCTTCAATAAGATGTTATAAACACCCTGAAAACAGGGACTTTGCCTTTTTCTTCTGGCTTTTTTCCATTGCTTGGCATCTGTTGTATGACCTTGGGCAAATTGCATAATTTCTTTTTGCCTCAGTTTCTTTATCTATAAAATGGGAATAATAAATAGTACTCATATCATAGCTAACTGATGAGGATTACAGGAGTTAATATCTGCGAGCATATGGTAAATGCTACTAGGTCAATGCTTGCTAAAAACTAAAATGACTCTCTGAACACAAAATGTCCGATATAAGGACTCTACAGATCAACTGCTGTCCTGTACTTCATGATCCTGCACTACACGATCATTTCTAGAAAACAAGCACAAACAATGCCCCTTTTAAATGCAGGAAATTTCTGCCTCACTCCAGCATTGGTATCAACACTTTAAAGCAGAGGGATGGCAAAAAAAAAAAAAAAAAAGGCCTGAGAGCCACTTCATCTGCTGCCTGTTTTTGTAAATAAAATTTTACTGGGACATAGCTAATCCCACTGGTTTGTGTATCGTCTACGTCTGCTTTTGTGCTACAGTGGCAAAAATGAGCAGCTGCAACAGAGGCAGTATGGTCTACACAACTAAAATATTTTCTGGAAATAGTGTGCTGGCCTCTGCTTTAAAGAGATAAAAAGAAATGACTAGTCATAAAATCTCTGCACTCCATGTTTTCATTAACTGCCAAAAGTGACCTTACATTGCTCTGAAGGGTATTACTTACCTCTTGTTCATTGACCAGAAGCTGGTACACTTTAACTCTGTATTCTCCTTTTTTAAGTGCTCTCCCCAGTCTAATTGTAATCTATAAATTAAAACATTTTTTTTTAGATGTATTATCTCAGCAGAATAAACAACCCATTCTCCCCACATTGTTTAGTTTGGTCTTCAAAAATTCTCTAGATTATGGACTCTTTGAGAACAGGTATATCTTTTACCTCTGATTCCCAGCACCTAGAATAGTAACTGACACAGAGTGAACATTTAACAAAGCTTTGTTAGATGAATGAAGAAAAACAACAACAACAACAAAAACAACCACTAAACATAAAAATAAAATTACCCTTTTAGGGTTATCTATTTCACCTTACTTGGAAACAGGGCAAGATGTTCTCAAATCTATCACTTAAAACAGACTCTAATTATTCAAAATTATTTTAATCAACCTTATTGTCATCTGAAAATGATGAAAGTGTCTCATTCAGTCGGACGCTCTCAAACTCTTGATTGCTGGCATACACTCGAAAGACCTTGAAGTGAGAGGACAAAACTCCAACAAAGGGCTCTAAATGTTGTTTGAAAGCGGCCAGAGTAATTCTTTTATCAACATGCACCATCAACCCTAAGTACAAAAAAACCAAAACAAAACAGAAACAAAAATGTAAAAGAAACCTCTTAGAATATAAATAAAACAGATCATATGCTTTTTATTATACTGTAAGCAGGAAAAAAGTACCCCCTTTCAGTTATTTGACTTTTAGCTCATACACAACATTGAATGGACAAAAAACATGGACACTGAGCATATGATAGACTCCAACAGCTTCAAATGTTCAGAGATATTTAAGTGCTTATTTATTTATTTAGGCTGCTGAATTCCAAACCAAGCTTCCAGGAATTCTTTTCCATTACATACATTTCTAGTTCTACACAGTAATAATGTGGCTCTGGCTGGGCTCCACCCCTATCTCTTCTGCTTCCTGACTAGCCATGTGACATGGAGCAAGCCCCCAGCCTCTGTATATCCACTTCTTCATTTAAACAATGGAGAGAATAGCACCTACCTCATGGGATTGCAGTGGGAATTCAATGGGGTTAATAGGTTTATCATGCTCTTAGCACAGTGCCAAATATCTAGTACTTATTTCAGAAAGTGTTAGTAAATCTAGTTCTGGGATTTCTACTAGAATAAAAATGTCAAGACTAGCATATGAAGATGTCTGTTTATCATGTGGTTGGACTGGAATAGGAAGAGTATCTAAATGGATCAGAAACTCCCACCATCCTCCAAACTTCTATAAAAGCTCTCTTGGCATTGTAATAGGATTATTTTTGGTGAGCTTTATTTTTTTTTAATACTTATTACTCTTTTGTCCTTTATAAGCCACTCATGAGCATACTTCTGGAATATTTCTATTTACTCGAGTCTTCATATTAAAAGAGCAACAACTACACTCATTTTTCTCTTTCTCTTACAATAGGCAGTACAGAATACATGAGCTGCATGCTGTCGTAGGCCCATGAGGCCTCTGGAGCCATAGCCATAAGCCTCTCTCTAGGGTAGGCTTTGGTTTTCTGTGAAATTTACAACACTAGTCAAGGATGAGACCCTAAAACACGCCTGGTTTATGTTCTCAGGTCACCCCAACTTTTGGGTTGATGAATTTTTGAGTGGACTTCTTCAAATAAATTAATGTTCATTTACTGTTTTCCTGGTTATAAGATTCAGATAGACTACAGAAAAGGTGACAAGTATGAATTAGAATAGAAACATGGTGATGAACTTTTTTGTTATATATACCTTTTCAGGCGGCATTTAATTTCTTTAAAATGTCCATTTCTAAACTTTAAGGAGTGTCCCTAAATGTTAATAATCCAGCTTTTGGCAAATAAGCCTCTATTTATACTATCCAGGAGGTACATTTCTTGAGAAGGATATAACGAAAAAATTACTTGATTAGAAATCAGACGTCAATGACTAGATTTCAGCTTTGCTGCTGTTGCCTAGTAAATGACTATCAGTAAGTCATCCAATGTCTCTGAGCCTCAGTTTTCTCATGGGATCATTACACCAGTCTCGTTGATTGCTGTTACGACAAATGCAGCAAATTCTAAATCATTACTAAATAATAAGCTACTACTGCCATTTTGGTTTCTGTGATAACCTGTGGTAATGTATCACAGGAAGACACAAGTGTTCGTTGTTGCAGTGAAACAGCCTGGCCTGAATGAATTCCTGCCCCCTCCTTGTACATTACCATCATACCATTTTTCCTATTTACCTCTTCAAACAGAAGAGTTCAGTCTCTTCAGTGCAACCTCAAAATATCTTTAAAAAGGTTTTTCTTTTTCTTTCTTTTATGTATTTCTTGAATGAGGTGGTAACCAAAATTGTACAAAGAAATTTTCAGTGCAAACACACTGCCATTTTTATTACCTTGACCTCGCTGTCTATACCTGAATGCCTGCAGACTGCAACTAGGTCACAGTGGAACAGTATTTTCAGAGAAAGGTCTATAATTACTCCCTGAAACAATTCCTGGATTTTAACAAATAGCTTAACAAAGACCATCTCTTTAAGTGTATTTCAGTTATTACCTAAGTTAATTCCTATACTGTACATATAATGTCATTCTTCAGGTATCAAGTTGTCTATTATACATTGCCATTTCATCCCTCTGCAGAATCTGTATTATATTATCTACGTTACCCAGGCACCTACGTTCAGATCACTGAGGAACTGTGATGAACCAGCCTTACTTAGTACAGACTCCTGAAACACCTGGCTGCTGGCTATCATCCCCACTCCTCTCCCTCTAAGCCAGTTTCCATGGTTTTCACTTTTTCTTTTCAAACACAAACAAGCTTTCTGTGTGGCTTCTGAAAGCTGAAATAAACTGTAGTATTTAAATGGGTCCTCTTGATCATGTTTACTATTTCAATAAATGCTAGTAAATTAGTCCACTATGAATTTCCAAAAAGGTGGAATGAGACTCTGCAGACTATAATTCTAAGTATTCCCATTAAATTCTTAAGGTTGAGACTCTCATGCAGCAGTCAAATATCCAGCACATCATTACAAAACAAACCACTTAAATTTCTAACCCTCTTCCTAAGAGGAGCTACTTTTAATTTTTCCAATGCCCTAGAAGGGTTGAGGATGGTAAGAAAGCAAGTAACCATAGCTACTAGCTATTTTTCCTTTACTATGATGTGAGGAAAGTAAGGGACAGTGGTACAAGTTAAGAAATAGAGAAATACATACCAGGCTTATAATCAGAATATATGAGTTTGATCCCAGCAATGTGACCCACTAGCTGTGTGACCTCTGGCAAATTATTTTAGCCAGTTTGAACCAGTTTCTTCATCAGTGAAAAGTGTCTAACAACGTCAATTTCACACAGTTGTTGAGAACTAAATGAAATAAAGTAAGTTACTGAGCCTTATGAAATAAAAACTCCATAGGAAGTTAAAGCATTAGTATAGAGTTTCTGTCTCCACTGTGGCTCACCATTCCGTATTTTCCCACTTGAGGTTTCTGCAAGATATGCATATGGATGTCACATGGTTTCAGTGTTATTTGGAACTAGTTAAAAACACAAATTTATGTATTTTTACACTGATTCCATAATTTCTACCACTTTTAAAAGACTAAATTTGAGACTATAAGCATCATAGCACTTAACTTTTATACTGGTTGTTTGTGTCTTCTCCCACCAGATGAAACATAAGGCCGCATCTTTGTCATCTCTACTTCTAAAATCTACGTAGGGCCTGGCATCTTGAATGGATCCAGGAATATTAATTGGGTGGGTGGATCAACGGATGGATAAAGAGTGGGACTCCCTCCCCACTATTACAAAGGTAACGGAGCAAAGGCATTCAATTCAGACTTAAATTCTAGTAATGGTTCCGCTACTTACTAGCTATACATGTACTTTTGGGCAAGTCATTCATCCTCTATGAGCTTCAGTTTTCTTATCAGTCAAATGAGAATATCAATATTTGCTTTATTAATCTCAGACAAGCTTCAAGTGAGAACAAACAAGTGTTTTGAAAACTAAAATATAAAAATATAAGGGGTAGTACTAATATTTGCATTGTTAAAGACTAATGCAAAGTATTTAGGTTTTTGAGCTATCCCTTATAAACCTGAAGAAAATTTTGTATATTGAACCTGGTTGTCCTGCTAATTCTCTGGCCTGTTTTTAGTCTGATGTTTTATAAAAAGTTGTTTTATTTTTTTTATTTTTTTTTTATTTTTTTAAGATTTTTTTTTTTTTAATTTGAGAGAGAGAGAATGAGAGACAGAGAGCATGAGAGGGAGGAGGGTCAGAGGGAGAAGCAGACTCCCTGCCGAGCAGGGAGCCCGATGCGGGATTTGATCCCGGGACTCCAGGATCATGACCTGAGCCGAAGGCAGTCGCTTAACCAACTGAGCCACCCAGGCGCCCAAAAAAAGTTGTTTTATTTTAATATTGGTGTGTTTTTGTTGTTGTTGCTTATCCCAAAGGCCCGAACTGACAGATCTCTTCAATCTTTTTGTGATTATGCAATTGAGAATTTCTAGTTTATACTTTGCCTGGAGCTTACTTCATAGTATCAATTTTTTTTTCATAATATCAACTAAAAAAAAAAAAAAGCCCGTTTCCCTTTTTTGACTTTCCCAGTTAATTATGGACTATTTAAGGGGTGTGGGGAGGGAGTTCTCTGCATTGTGGGATAAAGAAAAGAGAGGGGATGCACAAATAAACAATTGTCCTGGGCAGTGAATATCAAATTTTCTTGTCTAGCCCTTTCTTTTTGGTGTATTATTTACTTTTTAAGCTATTCCTTAATTTTTTTACTTAGTACTTTTATCATAATTCTTTCCTTTACAAAATTCTTAATTCTTTTCTCTTTTTCACTTATCTTCCCCAAAGCTGTGGTATCACTGCTGTCACAGGTCTGATGTGTTGCAGAGGTCCAAGAACACTTGCTACTACAACTGCACCGAAAATGAGAGCAAACGCAACAGAAGACATTCTTACAATCTAGGAAGTTACGGGTGGTCTTAGAACAAAGTACCTAACTCTTAGCTGATTCTTTTCTTAACTAAAAATTTAAATAAACTGAGAAAACAAATGGTGCCGTTTCAAGGAGCCTTTTCTTTCTAAGTACATACATTTATGTCCTTCCCCAGAACCTTCGTCTGCAGCATAGGGTTCTGCTTTGAAATACATGTACTGTATTTCTCCCCTGCTCTTGCCACTCTCATCGTATTCACTATCAGTTCCAGAGTCTTCTTCTGCTGTATCCCATGTCTCTTTTTTCCCTTCATTTGCTTTAGTTCTTCTACTACTTGTGATGCTATGAGAGTCAAGTCCATTAGCCAAAGGAATCTGAGCATTATCTGCATTGCACAAAGTGTCACTGCTATGACTGGAGCTAAGAATGTCACTGTCCACTGAACTTGTACTCCTGTCATTATTCACATCTGAGTCTGACCGTTCTTCAGACTGAAAATTTTCAGGATCAGAAGTCTGAATGTGCTGTTCAAATTCTCTATTGTCCACTGATGCTGAAGAGTCCCTCTCATTGAGAGGCGATTCTATGTTTTCAAAGTCACTTGTCTCAGTACTTTTGCTGCTGTCCCCATTATCACCATCTTGCTGCTGCTGTAGTGACAAGCTTTTGAGTTTTTCAGTGCTTTCTTCTAGAATAGCTTCCACAGACTTCAGGCTCCCCACAGGTCCTTTAACTCTTTCACAGTCATCATCCACATTACCAGAATCGCCCCCAGCTTTCTGGCCTGCTGTCCTTTTGGAGTAAGATCCTGGGGACTGTTCAGGTAACAAAACAAATAATCTGATCGTATTTGCATGACGATCCAGGAGTTTCCACAAATGAGAGTCTGTAAAGGCCATCTGGTAATCCAAAGTCTCAGAACTTTCAACAAACACCTACATAGTAAGCCAAAGAGTTACATTACATCATTAATTTTAGTGACATTCATTCTCGTTCATCATATCACCTCAATACAAGAAAGTGCATAGTAAGTTGTAAAATTTGGGATAAACCCATTTCTAAAGGGAATGTGTACTGTTTTTGGAGACTAAATAAAATTGATATTATGTTCATATGTCTTTGTAATTAGCCATAAAACTGCTAAGACAGAAGGGACACACAGATGCACACACGCATACACAGATATCTTGTTTATTGGGTTGCCCATTTTCAGAATGTTTTTGTACTCCATTATCTTGCCCATTAGGAAAACGAGTTTAGCACGAATACAGATAGAGGAACATGTATAGACATGTTGGGAATGCAATACCAAAATCCAGATTATAGAAAAAAAATCCAATGGACAAATGACTTGATTCTAGAGCAAATAAATGGCAAGGAAATAAACACACATGGGGGAGCTTTAGATTAAAATAAACTTGAGAGGTATATCATGGACTTTATTTGGATCCTATTTGAACAAACAAATCTTATCAGAAAAAAATTTTACAAGATAATCAGGGAAATGTGAATACTGACTAGATATCAGTTGATATTAAAGCATCTCTGTTAATTTTCTAGATGTAATAATATAATTATAGTTATTTTTTTTTAAAAGTTCTCACCTTTTAGAGATATATATTCAGATTATTTATAGATGAAATAATATTTCATCTGGGGATGTTTTTCAAATAATCTGAGGGAAGTAGGTGGTTAAATATAAATCAAACGAGAGCTGATAACTTTCAATAAATGTTACAATCAGGACTATTAGCTGACCATTTAAAGAAAAAAATAAAGTGTGATCCCTCCCACTTTTCACCCTACAACGGCATTAGGATGCATTAGAGATTTTAATGACACACACACAAGCACCGTGCAAAAGTATCCAAAGAAAACAGAGGTGAATAAAAATTACACATTGGGATTAGTATGACAAGAGCAAAAAAGGTTAAATGAGATAAAAGACTCGAGACTGCATTAAGATGAATGAGACTGGAAAAGGCAATAAATAAAACATGGCAAACAAGGAACATTTTGGATACAATTTATCTAGAGTAAACTGATGGCATTAGGAATAAACACACAGGAAAAATGATAAATGAATGATAGAACACATAATGGTATCAAGAGGTGAAACAAACAGATTAATGAGAGCTTTCTCTTTTCTATCAGAGATAACTAAGTAGAGAAAGGGAATAATGTTGGGTGAACCCAAAATGACAACCTTCTCTAGAGTAGGCATGTCTTTGACTTTCACCATGAAGTACTGCTTTATGGGAGAAGCTCAATAATGAACATAACATAATTCACAGAATCATAATTCAAGAATTCAGAGGACATGACTGTTGTGGATAGAAACAGTCATAAGGCTTCACCAGAGGCAGGACTAATCTGGGGCTTGAAAAATAAATGTAGGGAGAGGGGGAAGAACACTGCAGGTGAACAAGACATAAAGGAGAACCAGCAGGACTGACTGAGAAGGACGGAAAGAAGCCTGATCTGACCGATTACAAAGGAAGATAATTATTGAGAGAATGGGAGAATTCACAAGGTAAATTAAAGACAAATGGTGGAGAGCTCTAGAGGCCAGCCTTAAAATATAAAACTTAATTTACTATAACCAGCATAGAAAATAGTAATGAACAATTAAAAGACGTACCTTGTTACTTCTAAAAAACCCTTCAGCTTTCAGGGTCTTACTGGGCACAGTGAGAAGGCGGAGGTCATTGTAGCAGCGTTCCAGCACTATCCGCATTGTTTCAGCAGGTAAGTGGATGGCCTATAAGGGAAATGATTTGATAAAAAAAGGACTTGCAAGGATAATTCTTCTTGACTTAGAAATGTGGACAATGAGACACTGCTGAGTTCTTCTTAAAAACAGCAGAAAGAAAATTCAGAGAAAATTTTTGTAGAGGTTTACAAAATTTTTAGGGATCTGTGGAAAAATTTTAGTCTTATCCATTAATTATGTTCTAAATTAGGTGAACAAAGTATCACTTAACAAATGTATGCTCTGAAACTATTTTTAAGGTAACGATTTTTTACTAAAACTTCTATTCCTCTCATACTTGCAAAGTAAATGAGGTGATCTGGTTCCAACGAAACAGAATAACTGACTCTTTGAGAGTGGATGTCAAACCAATACCTGTTTAACTTCTGAACTTTTGATGGGTTATTTTGTATTCTGTGAACAGCTGTTAATACTTTTCTAAATCATTCTTCTTCTATGTAAAATGATATTAATTAATAAGTAAAATTTAAAGTTATTCTAAAATTACACATCCTTAATTTGAGGTGTCATTATAGGAATTTCACAAGAAATGAACAAAAAAATTTGCATTTTAAAAAATACGATTTGTTTTCAATACAACTAATGATAACTAATTCTTAGGCAGTCTAGTTATACATTAACCACTGCATTTCTTGGCAAAATATTTTGTAACTGCCTTTATTCTCTACAGACATATTTTTCCCCAACAAAATTACTAGCTTTTTCAGGGAAAGGAACATCATGTGTTTCTTTTGTATTCTACCTCAGTGTTCATACTCTAGATTAAACTGTAATACAGAGCAAGTACACTAATGCAGTCCTTTTATGAACAATTTAATTGTAAAATATAACTCCAAAACGTGATTTGTCTCCTCCAGTTATTACTCAGGCAGAAGTGTTAGAAGTTGTTGCTTTGTTAATGTAGTAAAGAAACCCAACTTTTATGTAATACTTAACAATTTTTTTCCCCCACAAAGCATTTATTTATTCCATTAACATTCACAACAACCCTGTTAAAGTAGGCATTAAAAGACCCCAGATGAGATAAAAGCCAATACTGCCTTAAGATGAATGACTGGAAAGTAGATCAACTTCTTGCTTTGCTATTACTGAACAATTTCCAGTACACCAAGGCATCTGAACCTAGGGCTTAAGAACCCTGAACAATTTTACCTATGTTTGTGTGCTCAATGTTCTACAGAGTACGGTATAACAGTTTTATTTGGAGTGGACTAGCTTTTTGTCCAAGGAAATTTGAATGTTTTCATCATACTTTTCCAGCTCAAAAATTCTGAATGAGTTTGTTCTTTATCACTAACTCACCGAATGTGGTCAACATTTAATTCATCACCTTCCCTGTCAAATCTGCTCCCCCACCCTGCTCTTCTATTTCTTTTTTTTTTTAAGATTTTATTTATTTATTTGAGACAGAGAGAATGAGAGACAGAGAGCATGAGAGGGAGGAGGGTCAGAGGGAGAAGCAGACTCCCTGCCGAGCAGGGAGCCCGATGCGGGACTCGATCCCGGGACTCCAGGATCATGACCTGAGCCGAAGGCAGTCGCTTAACCAACTGAGCCACCCAGGCGCCCTGCTCTTCTATTTCTATCACTAGATCACTACACCTTTGTGGTTACCCAAGTTTGCAAGTCCTCAGGTCATCTGTGCTCCTTCCTGCCTTACTCCAACCAATCACAAGTCTGGCAGATTCTATTTATAGAATCATTCTAACAATCTACACCTCTCATTTCTGGTCCTATGCCATCACCTGCGTTATTTCAACAGCCTCCCCATGTACATTCCTGTCTCCCCCTCCATCCGTGTGGAACACTAGTCTAGTGTCACCAGACTTAACCATTCTACAGCACAGCTCTCAACATACCACTGCTGTTCTTAGGAAAACAAACAAATATCCTACTTCCTATTGCCTACATCAAGTAGAGCCCATCCTTTTGTGTTTACTACTTAAAGACCCTCCATGAAATAAACTACTTTCTATTTCTAGGCAGGTACTTGACAGAGATCCAGCCAAACACATGTGCTGTTGCTGTGTGCACTCGCCTCATCCTTCCTGACCTCCATATTTTGGTCAATTGGTGTCTTCCACTCAAAGTGTCCTTCTCTTCTAAATATACTTACCTCCTGCCAGGAAATATCAGTTTCTATACCTTACTCGTAACTATCACATAATGCTTTATATGGAGCAGGCACTCAAAAATACTCACTGACCAATTTTAAAACTTACCTTTGAAATAAGTTGTTTGAACTCTGTGACTGTTTGATTTAAGTAAGCACGAACTGTGACAGGAGCAGCTACAGATTCTGCCTTAAGATCAACAACGTGAACTTTCACCA